AAGAACCCAAAAGCAAGACACTGCGCGCCGCCGCACCAAACGCCTGGGATATCGACAAACTGACAGATGCATTTGCTTCTCGCCTTTGCCCCCCGCAATCTCGTGGCAAAGCCAGTGGCGTTGTCTCGGTACGGATACAGGGGCTTTTCAAAGACGCATCGACAGCAAGAAGCCCAAGTCTGCAGTGCCCTCGAGGGTTGCATCCTGATGATCCTCTCTCCTGACAAGAAGCCAAGAAGTCCCAGCTGACGCTCCTCGACCCCGGCTAGACCCCCGTCGATTTGGGAAGCCCGGATCGAAATGCCGCACCGCAACGTGGGGCTGCGCCTTGTTGCCTCCGCATTCCGTTCCTGGCAATGCCCTGCACGCCTGTTTCGACCTCACTTCACTGTCCAGGACATTGCATCTTGATGTACCCAGACTCGCGGTGTTCCTGTCAAATATCATGACTTTCAGATACGTCAAGCATAAGCTGAGGCTTCATCGTTGCTTTCTTCTTCTTGATTTTCTTTCCCAGCTTTTGTTTCTTCTTTCTTGCGTGCTGGTTCGTCTCATGTGCAAACACCCGAGTCCCCCGCGTCCACCGCTTCATCCCGTTCCTTGCCCCTTCATCTGATTGCTAGTTTCTCCCGCTGCCTCTGGTAGATTGAGGTGCTTGGATCAACCCCGGTCATGAGGCTTGACCAACAAAGGCAATCCAGCACTGTTACATTCCGTTGGAAAGAGGCCCAACCCCACCACTTTCGATGACATGTGCCGCTCTCCCCCATACTATGATGAACCCCGTAAACAAACATTTCCTCCTATCGGTGCAGTTGCAAACCATGCATCCATCCACAATCACGGGAGATATCACTGGTCGAGCCGTATGCTGGGAGCCTGTGGTCATGTGGCAGAAGCTGCCAACTCCAGGGTTTGATATCTGAAAGAAGAAAGTAGTAAGTCCCGGGATGGCGGCAAGACAGACAGCATCCAAGGAGGTTTTGGGCCTTGGCAAATGTCACTGTTCCTTTAAATCGTCTCTTGCCCTCTTAGAAGGCGAAGATAGGATCCGAAATTTTGGTTGCTAGACCTGTGTTGACCTCGACGTCCGGTACCATGAAGTTCTTCAGTCGTTCTGGTGCTCTGGCAGCACTCCTGGCCACAACATCTCGTAGGGTTTTCACAGCATCAAGGATGATTTACTTGCTAACATGCTGTTCAAGTCCTCGATGGAGCTGCCGCCCAATCCCCCACACCGGTTGTCTTGACCGACTCCAAAACCGGCATTATCTTCGACACTTGGTCCGCAACGAGCGCTCAAACGGCCGGGGGCATGACATACGGTTTCGCTCTGCCTCAAAATGCGTTGACGACAGACGCCAACGAATTCGTTGGCTATCTCGTAGGTCTTCTCAGCCCGTCGCCTACCTCACTGACTGACGGTGTTCGTCTAGCAATGCGCTTCCAAGAACGGCCAGGGCACTGGCTGGTGTGGTATCTCCCTTGGCGGATCGATGACCAACAAGCTACTTCTCATGGCATGGCCCAGTGGCTCTGATATCTTGACATCGTTCCGCTGGGCAACGGGCTATGTGATGCCAGACGTCTATGCAGGCGACGCCAAGCTCACACAGATCTCGTCCACTATCAACGCGACACACTACACCCTCATCTACCGGTGCCAGAACTGCTTCAATTGGAACCATAACGGTGCCACTGGCAGTGTCTCGACGAGTGCGGGCTCTCTCGTTCTAGGATGGGCGCAGGCATTCACCAGCCCGACCAACCCCACGTGTCCTGCTTCTGTCAACCTGGTTCAGCATGACAACCAAGGCATCCATGGCGCCGCTCTCGATGCCAACGCTGCGAACCCCTCGTACTCTGCATGGGCCGCTTTGGCGACCAAGACTGTCACGGGAAGCTGTGGTGGCGCCACTACAACTTCGGCGCCACCCTCTACCACCACTACGAAGGCACCCACTGGACCTACCGGTGTTCCCGTTCCCTCTGGCACGTACGACTACATTGTCATCGGAGCAGGAGCTGGTGGCATTCCCTTGGCCGACAAGCTGAGTGAGGCTGGCAAGAGCGTCTTATTGATCGAGAAGGGGCCGCCATCTTCTGGCAGATGGGGTGGCACCATGAAGCCGACCTGGCTAGAGGGTACCAACCTGACCAGGTTCGATGTCCCCGGTCTTTGCAACCAGATCTGGCGCGACTCTGCTGGCATTGCCTGCCAGGATACTGACCAGATGGCGGGTTGTGTTCTGGGTGGAGGCACCGCCATCAACGCCGCTCTTTGGTGGAAGGTATGTTGTCTCTCGGCCGACGAAATTGATGTTAATGCTAATATTTTTTAGCCATATGCCCAAGACTGGGACTACAACTTCCCGGCCGGATGGAAGTCTACCGATGTCGCTGCCGCCACAAGCCGGGTCTTCTCTCGCATCCCCGGCACCACGACACCATCTCAAGACGGCAAGGTCTACCTGACGAATGGCTTCAATGCAATTGCCGGCGGACTTCGCACCGCCGGATGGTCGGAACTTGACCTTAATGCGAACCCAAACTCCAAGAACCGCACTTTCGGCAAGACGCCGTACATGTACTCTGGCGGAGAACGCGGTGGCCCCATGGCGACGTACCTTCTCACAGCAAGCAAGCGCAGCAACTTCAAGCTGTGGACCAAGACGGCCGTCAAACGTGTTGTCCGGACTGGTGGGCACATCACCGGCATCGAAGTCGAGCCGTACTTGGACGGTGGATACACCGGAACGGTCAACGTGACTAACATCTCGGGCCGAGTGATTCTTTCCGCAGGAACCTTTGGCAGTGCCAAGCTTCTTCTTCGCAGCGGCATTGGCCCACAAGATCAGCTCGAGATCGTCAAGAGCTCCGCTGACGGGCCTACCATGATCTCCAATGCATCTTGGATCAACCTGCCTGTCGGATACAACCTGGAAGATCACACCAACGTGGGTCCTACTGAGAACTTTGGAGGGTATGAAGACTGAAACTAATTGGATCTAGACCGATACCGTCGTCACGCATCCCGACGTGCAGTTCTATGACTTCTACGAAGCGTACACTGACCCCAACGTCACGGACAAGAATCTCTATTTGCAGAAGAGAAGCGGCATTCTGGCCCAGTCTGCGCCCAACATTGGCCCTCTGTAAGTTAAAAAATGCCACTCGCTGATATCCGTTGCCTTTGCGCTAATGCCATCCTAGTTTCTTCGAGGAGATCAAGGGTGCCGATGGCATCACTCGGCAGATGCAATACACGGCCCGCATGGAGGGCAGTCTCGGTGCCCCCGATGGCAGTAAGTATTCCTTCCAGGCCCACCATTGGTTGACGTCTGAACATTAACACTTTTCACAGAAACCATCACCATCAGCCAATACCTCGGCCGTGGCGCAACTTCACGCGGCAGAATGACCATACAGGCCAACCTCGGCACCGTCGTGTCTACCGTACCCTACCTTCGCGATCAGAACGATGTCGAGGCCGTCATCAAGGGCCTCGAGAATCTGCAGACCTCCCTCAAGAGCGTGGCCAACCTTGTCTGGAACTTCCCTCCGCCGGGTACGACGGTCAGAGACTATGTCAACAATATGCTAGTCTCGTACTCGAACCGTCGCGCAAACCACTGGATTGGTAAGTTGACTCCCCACAGTCTCTCCTAACTCATACCCGTCTGCATATCGAGATCGCTGACAGACAATCTCGGAAAAGGTACGAACAAACTCGGGACGAGTGACGGTCGCAGCAAAGGCGATTCTGTCGTTGACGTCAACACCAAGGTGTACGGCACAGATAACCTCTTCGTCGTTGATGCCAGCATCTTCCCCGGGATGGTCACCACTAACCCGTCATCGTACATTGTGGTCTCGGCCGAACACGCCGCCGCCAAGATTCTTGCCCTCGCGACCTCGACAGCGCAGCCGCTTTACGGGCAGTGTGGTGGATCGACATGGAATGGCAGCTTCCAGTGTGCTACTGGGCTGAAGTGCACCGTCAAGGACGCCTACTACTCTCAGGTACGGATTCCTTCTTTTTCTTCATGTCTCCTGCCCCAATCTCTCTAGCACGTCGTTCGAACGAGATGACGATGATACTAACGTGATTGACAGTGTCTCTGAGTGGGGTTTCGAGGCAGGGTATCCCAAGTCGAGGAGCGCACGTGGCGCGCTTTATTTCCCAGTTCTATCCACCATGCTTTCACGTGTACATACTTTTTTTTGGCGCCATCTATCTTCCGAGTATATATTTCCATTGAATTCCTCGTAACCCCGAGGTATATTTATATCCACACTTGACTTCAACAAGCGCACGCCGTTTCTTGACTGATGAACAAGTTCTTGTTTACCCCTCGGTCCGGTGTTCTATCTAAACATGCGCACCAATGAAAAAAGGCCTCGGCACTACGCCTAACCCCACACGCCAACTGACGTCGTATCTGAGATCTCCCGGCACCTGGATCATCCCCAATTCTGCCTCTTTCTGGGGAGAGTCGTGTGGTCCGCCCCTCTTTCTAAGGTTTTGTTTTAGTCGACATTTCCCTGTTCGTTTACTTCGGAGGAACCACGTCTGGCCGTGCCTGGCAGTGTTTTGCCATGTGCCTGTTGATGACGACTGGAGACACGAGAATATTGATGGGGCGGAAAACACATGGGATGAGCGGTGACTTAATTTCCCTGATTCGGGCACATGGAGTTCAACTTGAGTCGCTCGCCCAGCTTATCAAGCTTTCTGATGGAAAACCATAAGGTACGAATATGGTCTGATTCTATCCACTCGATCCGTACCTTATTCGTGATGACCCTCGTGACCGTCTATTCGGTGGGTGCAACCCACGCGCAACCCGGCCCCGAAGTCCCCGGTGCCTTGCATCTCCCGTCACGCCTTGGGTTGCCCTCAAAACGACACTGGAAGCAGATCTTCCAGCGACGGGAAAACTCTAGCGCCCCCTGGCACGTTCCGTGGTGACAGTGCGGTACTGCAACGGCAGTGTGGGATGGCCGAGCAGTCACCAGTTACGAGCCAGAGAAACCTTGATTTAACCTCGGCGCCGGCCGTGGCGGGGGGCAGTTCGTTCGGGCGCGTCTCTCGTAACTGGACTAGACTAAGCTGTAGCGCATCTCCATCTCGGGGTGTCTTCGCCGACAGCTTCGCCGTTACTATCGTCGCGCGACGATACCCGCCCCGCCATCACAACGCTTGTCCAAGATGAGAATGACAGGGCCTATTTCCACCACACCTATGACGATGGTCAAGACACGACGTTGCGTTTCCCCAGATTGCGGGGTGTGTCAGTCAATCTATGTGGGTTTGACAGCTCCCGAAGAATCATGATAAAAAGACTCGACGTCCCCGAGTCCATTGCGAACCTGTTGCTTCTCTCCTCTCGTGTGCGTCAGCATCCTCCTTACTCTCTCCACCTCCCTTGCACAACGATGCCCTCCCTCAGATCCCTCCTCCTTCTCGGCGCAAGCCTGGCCGCGACCTCGGTCCAGGCTTCGCCCATCCAGTCTCTCGACTTCAGCGGCACTTCCCTCTCGCCTCGCGCCGACCCGAGTCTGACGGGCTACCTCGGTGCATTCTTCCTCGGCGCGGATCCTTACGTATATCTGTACCTTTCCAACGGCAACAACCCGACCTCGTTCCGTGCGCTCAACTCTGGTTCGCCTGTGATTCGGCCGACCAAGGGGACGGGCGGTGTGCGCGACCCTGCCATTGTTGTAGGCGGTGGTGCGGAGAAGGGCAAGAAGTGGTATATTGTCGGTACAGACTTGGACATCGCAAAGGTATGGTTCTGCTCATGACTCTCTGATGGGGAACCCGGGCGCTGATCGTGATCTTACTTAGACTACTTGGGATGCGGCCCAGAGACAGGGGTCCAAGGGCATTTTTGTCTGGGAGAGCACGGATCTCGTCAACTGGAGCAACGAGAGGCTCGTTGTTGTTGAGAACTCCAGCGCCGGCATGGTATGGGCACCCGAGGCCATCTGGGATGCTGCCAAGGGCCAGTACCTCGTACACTGGGCCTCCAAGTTTGTAAGTCCATCATCATGCTTCTCGTCTTCGAGGCCATTAGAAACTAACCGCGGCGTGAATAGTACCCCGCCTCGGACCCGAACCACACCGGCAGCCCCGGCGCCATCGTGATCCGCTACGCCTACACCTCGGACTTCAAGACCTTCTCCGCCCCGCAGACCTACATCGACAAGTCCCCCACCAACATCATCGACCTCAACATCCTCCCCACCGGCACCGACGGCAAGTCCTTTGTGCGCTTCCTCAAGGACGAGTCCCTCAAGACCGTGTTCGTCGAGGTCTCCACCACCGGCCTGTTCGGTACCTGGACCCGTCCCGGCGGTAGCTCTGCTGTGATTGCGAGCGGCGTCGAGGGCCCTGCTTCGTACTGGGATAACCAGGTTGCGGGCAAGGCGCATGTTTTGCTTGATTTCTATGGCGATGACGGGTATAGGCCGTATGAGACGACGAATGTGGCGAGTAACTCGGGGTGGACTGCTAGTTCGCGGACTGGGTTCCCTAGTGGGTTGAGGCATGGTGGTGTTTTGCCTGTTAACCAGACTATTTATGATGCTTTGGGAAAGCGTTGGGGTTAAGCGACTAAGGTTTTGTACATAGGAGGTGGTTGTAATAAGTGCATATAATGCGCAGCTGAGCGAGCTGTTGCAATGAACATTATCAACAAGACTTCCTGTGTTGTGACCCAATTGAACCCTACTGTTCTTGATCATACTCCATGTGTCTTGCGCACTTCCGTTCTATGGAAAAGTACTCATGAATATAACCACAAGGCATCTCTGCCACATCTAGCTCTAGGCCTCCGCAGAACAAAAGTCTGGCAACAACTGCGCTTGATCAGGATCTGAACAAGCCTGTGCAACTGACAAAAGGTACTGCAGCCTTGTCAAATCTCGAGACTCATTAGACACATCAAGAGACACCTTTGATATGTCGATAGACTCCAGCCCGATCTGATACGACAACTTTGCGTAAATGATAGATACCAGTCCCAACACGAATCCCACAATCGAGAACACGAGCGCCACACATGCAATCACGAAGTTGGCTGATTCCAAAACATTGAATCGATCAGGAGTAGGGAGAAACTGCCAAATCCCTCTTCTTGGGCCTTTTGCGATGCTCAAAAGCCGGTCCATCTTCGTTCCCCAGATGGCGTACTTCTTCAAGTCGGTGCTTGGGACTCTGCCACAATAACCCAAGCTGTAAAATTCCTGTTCTCGCCTCTGTAGAAATCGTCTGGTGTGGTCATCGTCCGGAGGGAGAAGCACATTGAGTGTATCCAGCGCTTCGAGCAGCACTGATTGTGGTATCGAACAATCCGATCGGCCCACTTGCGAAGAGAGCCATATTTTGTGTTGAAAGACCCAGACAAGCCTCGATTCCTCGTCGATACGCAGATGCTGATTCAGAAAGTCTGTCCACACGACCGTGTAGCCGTGAAACTTGGCTAGGGACCTTATCGTGAGATGCGAGGTTAGGGTTCCGTGTTGCAAGTCCGGGTTCAGCACTCCGTTATAAAATTTAGACAGGGTATCTTTCAGCGATGCTCCGCACTCCCATGATACCGCTGACTTTTCATGTATATTTGAATTCGGCAAGACTTGGATACTCGTCATTGATTCGAGAGATGCGGCCACGGAAACAACTTCCATTACTTCTCGATCCTGGTTTCCTGGATTTGCAGTTCTGAGGCTGAATGCTTTCACAACATCCTCCACAGGCATTTGGTCTGACCGTCTGACAGAGCCCACGACTGTTTCAATTGTGTCGATGTTACTGCTTGACGGCAAAACTTGTTTTACGGCTTCTTCTGACGGAGTGATGACATTTTTGACGCAGGCTGCCAGTGTCATATATTGACCAGAAAGGTAGACTTTGTCTGCTAATGCTGGCCAAACTCGCTTGCAGATTTCAGTATCATTGGGGTCACCTCTCGTCGTTTTCCCGAAAGCCATCCTGGATGGATATATATCGGCTTCGATGTGAACTGCTGCGCGAGTCTGAGAGTAAGAAACAGACCGATGGTAAAGGACGTGGGCATGGATATGACTGGAGCTATGGTTGACAAGTTTCTAGGCTCGGTCAGGCCGACTATTGACATTACATGTAGTTTAAATTAAGAAATCAAACTCCAAGATGTGGAACCAAGATCAAGGTTTCTGTTGGACCACGTTTCAATGCTTGAACATTTACATACAGGGGCCAAGACAATCAGGCTGAGTGCAGTGAAGATATCAAATCGACGGCAATGATTGGCTTTACAGTGCTCTTGCACCGCCTCCTTGTCCAGCTGTCAGAAAGCCTGCAGTCTGCCTTTTGGGCGAAGTGCAGGTGATTGGCAGCTCTGCAGTGAGCATAAAAGCCTTACGTTATGCCACATGCCGTTGACCAGATAGTCGAGAATAAGTCAAGAATCATATGCACATGCAAACAGAATAAGGCGGAACCTGTTGCATCTATGGCTCGAAACTCAAGCTCTGTTCATTCTGACAAGCTCAGCTCATTCTACCTCCAGGAGAAATGCATACTGTTCCTGGAGCGGAGATCTCTGCCCTATGCGACGATAATGATGACGAGATCGTCGCCACAGGAGATCACTGGTGTGGCCGGGAGGCCAAACGACAGCGGACGAAAATGACCAGCCATGGCATATCGACACCCACGAATACTATTTCACCCAATTCAAGAACCAACGAGGACCTCACGACTGGATTTTCAGAAGAATTTGAGGGAGATAGAGCTGGTCGGTCTACACCGCCACCACGGCCTGATACACTGCTTCCGCCAACGGCGCAGTCTACCCCACCTACGTCGGTCCCTACTATCGACAATAACTTAAAAGTTACCAGCGACAATCAGACCCAGCAGAGCCTCTCTCAAATACAAACAGACGAGGTCACCACAAGTCACACACTGCCAGTAAGCTCTCCCCATTTATGGCGGTTTCCGAAAACAACAATTTGGTATGCCGACGAAGACCATATTCCTATTCCGCCAAAGCTTTTATCCATGTGGACTCCTATTCGGGCCCAATTGCAACTGGACCTCGATACAGTTGTCACGGCAATGGTTTCAGAGCAGGCGAAGGCAAAAAACCGAGTGAAGCGGATGGACTCTTCAAGGAAAACAATCTATCCCGAGCTCCGGATGTCAGGTCATCAGCATAACTTTTTTTCAGGCATGGTTACAGTGTCACCTTGCGTGTGGATACTCTGTGGCAGCAAATCTTGTCGCAATAAAGTTCGCCGTCTGATGCGTTACCGACTGCTCCCCGAGATCTTTATGAAGCAAGCGATAGAGATTCACGAGATGGCGCCTAGATTCTCCGCTATCCATGCAGTTGTTCCACTTCCCCAAATTCTTTCCGACATCGAGCAACACGTAGGGATCGTTTATGCGGGTGGCACCATACTGTATCATATGGAATCACCAATAGACTCGTACAGGCCCCAGTCAGCGTGTGGCTTACTTTGCTGTGCGACCTTTATTAAAGACGGAAGAATAGTTGATCAGCGTGTATCTCGAATAGGGGGGCTGTTATCCACCAACGACACAGACTCAAGACGCCCAATCGCAATAACAACTTCTCACGGGTTACTAGATTGCCTATGGACAGAGAAAGAGGATAACAGCCCCACCATGTTGACTCAGGAAGATACGCAGTATTCCATGAAGCTCGATAATTACAATGGGGACTACAGGCATGGATTTCAGGCTGCGAATGGAACAGACGATTACTCTGATTCCGATAGCGAATCTGGGAGCGAGCTCTCGCCTAGCTCAAGCCGCGATGGAAAGAATGGACCGAGTTCAACTGGCGACGAGACAGAAGTTTCAGAATGGGACCAGTTCCTGAACTACGGCGAACATGTTGAGCCCGATTCGCCGGCAAAAGATGAAGCTGTTGAAACTCAAGACATGGGAACAATTCTTGGAAGAAGAAGTCCTAAAACCATAACCAAATGGCACTGTTTGGAAGACATCGCAGGAGTCAGGCTTTGCAAGGAACGCATTCCTGTGCTAAGCAAGAAACCTTTACCCACTCGACCAGCCGACTATGCACTTCTCAAATCAGATCTTCTATCGACTCTCAAGAATGTGTCTTCGTGGATTCCCATTGTTGAGATCACACACTATATCTCTAACGACACGCTGGAAGTTGGCCATTTATCCCTTCTTCTTGGCCCAGGAGAAGCGCACGACGTCAAACTATTGCCAGGAACGACCACGATGCCTTTTGCGGAGGAAAAGCTGGTAGTTCGTAAACTCCAGCTGTCGAAACCATTAGGTGCTTTTAGATCTTGATTGATGGAAGACTTAACTGACTGACATGCAGCGGAGGGAACATCGGGGACATGGTTGTCCAGAGGCTCGTCTTTTGCCGGGATGGTGGTTGCGACATTTCCAGGCCAGCCTTTGGCCCTTATGGTCACTGCCGAGGACATTATGAACGACATGGCCTGTTCTTTTCCAATCGAGAGAAATGAGGAAGAGCCAAAGCAGTTGGTTGTCTGTGACTCGAGCACTCAAGCAGTGCCAGAGACAGTGTCCGAAGCCTACACCGTTTTTGCATCATGGCATCGCAATTCAGTCGAAACAGATCAATCAGTGCACAGTTCGCACAAGAACCCACAGACTCCATACATTCAGAGTTCAAGAGATGGGTTACAGATGATTAAAGGTAGGGTTTACTTTGCTTGGGTCTTGCGTAACATACCTTGAGTATGCTGATAACTTCGCAGCATCTCCGGAAAAGCCACTGGAAGGGACGAAGCAGAACCATGAAAAATTCACTTCATACTTCAAAGTATGGTATTGTGTAAGTCAACAAAGCTTGTATTTCATTTGGAGCTTGTTAGTAACTTACAGCTTTAGTCCAATTGTTCTTTTGGCCCATGTAGCGAGCATACAGATACACACTGTCCCCAATGTGACCATTGGCGCTGTTACCATTGTCAAACTCTCAACATAAAAAGTCCGAAAGGCTATTACTAGGTACTAGGGTATCAAAATACATATGTGTATTTGTCTATCTGTTTAATCTTTGGTAGCATTGAATTTTGAATTGTCTTGTTGCTTTGGCTATCAACTGTAGAGGAAGAGTTGGCTGGAATGGTCCAGTACTCCGCGGGATTGACTTGTTCATTAAGTAAAGAAATGTCTAAGAAGTCTCTGCTGGTTATGTTGTGCGAAAGAAGTCAAATCCAAAGTAATTTGTGAGTTTACGTCTGATTGCTGCAGTGCTACAGTCAACCCGAGGTAAGGTAACGAACGATCCGACGTGCGTAGCTCGACAAGGAACCCACACTCATACCTGCAGAACCTTTCTCGCCTTTTTCATGAGACTTGGACGAGCCCGGTCTAAAATCAAGGGCGTATGCATTGAAGTGGGACGAAAGCATCACTTTGGCAAGTGTTGGGGCTACGATCAAATATGGATTGGGTTGAGTCTTTGGGTCTCCATGTCTTCAAGGTCCGCAGGCAGTACAATAAGCTCATTCTATTAAAATAGCATACGATGCAATCACGAGGAACTTCTATTTAGCATATAAATATCTGATTACGTATTATGGCTTTTCTTGTAATTGAAATACGCTATGCTTATTTCGTCTGGGCAATAAATTATGTACAGGATTAAGGCAACAGACCGTTTCGCTGAAACATCTTTCACACCTATAGTCTTTAGGCTTTATGGTTGGAAACTAGGGACGAACTGTCAGTGGAATTCGTGCAGGCCAGGAATAGCTACCGGGAGGACGGCATTTCGAGTCGATTGGGGGTTCATCCGCCTCCCCCGTCGGACATTTCTTCTCACAAGTTACAGTTCATTGTAGCGAGTCATTATACGCCGATGTGCGTCGCTGGAATTGTTTGATGTGAGAAGAAATTTTCCATTCCGTCAAACGCCAAGCTAATTCCCTGTTCCAAATTCGTCTGGAAAACTCATCCGTCAACTCAACAAATTTCCTCCCCTCTTCAAGCTCCAACCCTCCTTGACAAGCCAGAATGAAGCCATGACTGGTGTTGTAAGAAGGCCGAGAAGTCCCCCAAGGATCCCTTTGAAGGCTTCGGGTGCCCACTTGGATTGGAAATACCAGTCCCAATCATTCCCTGAACCCCGGGTTCCGATAACAGTCAGAATTCCGACAGAGGCTGGCCAGAGCAGGAAAAATGAAACAACAAAAATCAAGCCGATCCGAATCAGATGTTCAGCAAACACCGAGAGTCTGCTTTTGGTGTGTCTCGTGTCTTCTAGGTTAAGCATCATGAACCACCGCATGAATGGTTGCGAAGGTTCTTCAATGAAGCCTATTGGGCTGACGCTCCCATTCTTCATGTCGCGATTGGCGAGAAAAAGTTCGATGAACCACGTCATTGTCGTTTGGATGATCATGGTTACTACTGCATCTCCAGCTAGTGTGTTGGGCAACTGAAATAGGCGAATGGGATTGCGCGCGATGTTCTGAGTTGAGTACATGCCTGCATGGTTTGTGTCAATAAACTCTCATGTTCCTGCTTGGTTCGCCAAAAGCTTAAGCTCAGCAAAGTGTTGCGGGGCCTTACCGTAAGCGATAGCAAAATTTATGCCCCCAGAGAGAACTGCGGCTCCAATACCGTCGAGACCAAAGATGTAAAAGATCTGATGTCCACTGATGCTATCCGTTGGCTGCTTCTGGTGAGATCCGGCAGGCTTGACTTGAACGCCAGCCTCGATGTCGCTTTCATTCGAGACCCTCTCATTAGAGACTCTCTCGTTGCTACTGCCGCCGGCATATGTTGAGGCTGTGTTGTCTTCGAACGACTTGTCCGCTATGCGTTCGTGTTTCCTGAATGGCATATTGTCTGAAAGTTAGAATAGAGCCTATCTCATGGAAGGAAGGAAGTTGCAAATTGTCGAACCAGGACGCGTCTTTATTGCAAACTATGCTATCTGTCTTTGTTTTGAAGAGAGCAACTGGTTGTGGAAGAGGGTGTGAAGGGGGGGCAACGAGCAGGGGGTCTGGAAGGGTTTTTTCCCTTCCTTTAAAAGGGGGTCCTAGGTGACTCGTGAGGCTGCTTCATGATCGGCGAAAATTTCCGGAATGACCGGGGGAGGCTGTCGAATATTGGTCGCTTTGGCGTTTCGGTCAGTGGGCTTGTGAGGTGACACGGGTAAGAGAATCAAGCGAACTGGTAAAATCCACTAGCTTGACTAGCTCCTAGACAGAGTTGCACTGATGAAAAGGGTCCGTGATCTTCGCTATCCGTCTACGGATAGATGTGGATGTTTGTCAGCGCACAGACTAGATCGGGAGTGCCGGGGTAGATGGAGACTGGCAGATTCCCATCTTTGCGTCAGAGTTGCCATGCATGGCGGTAGGTGAGCGAATCAGGTAGCTTCTAGATTCTTGATTTCCCGTCGATTGCGTTCTCCTGCATGATCTTCCTGTCGAAAAGGTGTTCTTCCTTTAGGGAACAGACAATGGTTGATATGCAGAACGTATCCGAGCTTGGGTTCCAGCCAAACGTGGCTGTGCAATGTCAACGACTTGCGCTGTTGTTTAGAGTTAATCATGCGAACCAGAGGAGGAGGCTGGAGAGGAAAAGAGGAAGGGATTTCATGCCACGATAGTCCCAGTTCTCGCCAGGCGAGTGCGGTCTGCGACCGGAACTAGCCCGTGATCGACAGCTGGCAGCGCCGGATCTTTGGATGGGTTGCCCATGTAAGTCGGGGGCGGCCCCACAGACACCTTACTGATCGCCTCCGGAGCGGATGGGACCATCCCGGATGACACGGCTGGGAATAGGAACTACTCCCGCCTCCACCATTTGCTCAGTGCCAACAAAGTCTTGCCAACATGGATTTCCCCACGAACTAGTCTCCATAACTATTCCGCCTTCCAGGCGATCACACAGTGCATTGGGAGTAACACGATAGCACCGCCGGCGACCCAGAGGTCATAAAGCGCATCGACGGGTTACGTCTCATGTTTGAGGAGACACACTGGGTTTTACCCCTCCCTTAGAGAAAGAAAGACCCATCATTTATGGTGTTCCAGGCAACAAGATCGAATGAAAAACCAAATGAAGCCTAGAACATGAGATCAATGACTCGGCATCCCTTGAAACATTGTTTTCCGTACATACATAAACGTGGCTGGCCATATCCGCTCGCGCCCTCCGATACCCCCGCCCCCAGCTTTCTCTTCGACGTGATCAAGAGGCATTTTACGAGTGCCAGGCGCACAGAAAAGAAAGCCTGCAGTATTCATCGTTTGCGCAAGTTGGGCGAAGCAAATCCGTCTGCGCTTTTCCCTGCTTCTGAATACTGGCACAATGCTCAACGGCTACGAGTGCGACCCTGACGACAAGATGAGGACCCCATCAATGGACATTGACGAGAAAAGCACCGCCTTTTCTCAAGCTCAAATCTCAACACCTGTATGACTCGGCAAACGCCAGTGCACCATCTGAGTACCCCAAACTGACTGCGATATCCGTCTAGCCGGCACCAACGAGGAGACACACAATCAACACCATGATGACTACCACGATCATTCCAGAACCCACACCGCCGGTCGCGGACGCTCAACGGCGATTCTCTTGGCTGCCGAGATCCGCCACACCATCCCTGCGTAGCCCCACATTCCGCCGTCGAACGGCGAGCCCGTTTGATGACGACGATTACTCATATGCTGAGAGCAACCCGTTTGGAGAAGACTTCAGAGAGCAAAATGAGCAGGCTGCGCGAGATTGGGATCGTGAGCATGGTCACGATCACGGAGAAAATCCCTTTGAGGACTGCGAGTACGAGCTGCCGCCTGCATCGGCGAAGAAGGATGGGACTTGGACCAAGTTCAAGAAGGCTATGAGTCCACGGCGCGCCATTAGTAAGTGGAAGTATCGCAAGGTCAAACATGAGAGCATGCGACCTGGGCCTGATGATCCAGACCACGGAGATGGCAGCCATCATCAGGGGCAAGTCTCTTGATTTTGACACAATTAGTCAGTCTCGAAAGGGCAGGATGCCTGTCAAACTACGCTTGATACCATTCGGGGCGGGAATTGCGCTACAATGTTTTGCTTTCTTCTTTGAGTCGTGGGGAAAACGGCGTTGCCTTCGAACAGAAGTGTTTTGATACCTAGTTGCCTTTGAGTTACCTGAAGCGAGTGATCAAAAGACAACCAGGCGTTGTCTAAGTGCGCTTAAAACAATCAAACCCAGTTGAATATTCAATTTATCTCGCAAAGAGGATTTTCTATCATCATTGGCGACCAATTACAATCAACTTTACATTCGAGACATGACATGATAGATCACACGAGGCACCAGGGGCGAGTACTAAAACTTGTACGATAATTCAGGTCTATCGAATAATTGTTTTCATCGGTCTTCAAGCTTTAAGCTATAGCTACAGATTCAGGAGTCGTCTCATCTCATTACCCATGGCTCCTGGGTGCGGCACAACAATTGCACCCGCCTCCTCGAGTGCTTTTGCTTTAACATCGGCAGGCACATCTCTCGCTGAAAGAATAGCACCGGCATGACCCATCGTTTTTCCTTGCGGCGCTGTTCTCCCGGCGACCATTGCAATTATTGGTTTTGGGTTAGGCGTCAATTTTCTGTAATCTCTTATGGCCTCCGCTGCTCTAAGCTCAGCTTCGCCGCCAATCTCGCCAATGACGATGATTCCCCTGGTCTCTTCATGTTCAAAGAATAATTTGAGCCCATCCAGAAGTGTGGTACCTTACACAGCAGATCAGAGCATATTCAAGGGGTATGTGAGGTGGAGGTTTCTGCTTACCTGGCATCATATCTCCGCCCATTCCAACAACGATACTCTGTCCAAGTCCAGCTTTGGTTGTGGCTCCTACAGCTTCGTAACTGAGCGTTCCGCTTTTGGAAACAATCCCAACAACGCCTTTTGTGTACTGCTTGTACGGCATGATGCCAATGCGGCATTGGTCGGGTGCGATAATCCCGGGGCAATTGGGTCCTACAAGTCGCGTTCTACTTTGTGTTCGGAGAATCTCTTGAACCCTAGCCATATCATGAAGGGGCACATGTTCAGCAACTGAAACGACGAGCGGAATTTCAGCCTCGATTGCTTCAATGATTGCCCCTGCTGCGAATTGGGCAGGAACGAAGACTGCGCTTGCGTGTGGCTTCACATCTTTTACGGCCTGTATATAATATTTCGTCAGCTGAATCGCATACCTCAGAGGATGTTGAGGATTTCGTACTTCTTGTACTGTGTCAAACACTGGCAGGCCGAGATGATCCTGACCACCTTTCCCAGGGGAGACGCCCCCAACAATCTGCGTGCCATATTCTATTGTGTCTCGTGCATTTTTGGTGGCCTATCATCAGTCCATGTCAGCTCCATAGAAGTCACATTAACTTCGTCAATGTATGGTACGCACTGCTTTACCAGTAAATCCTACATAATAGTCGGTTAGCAAACCCAAAGAGTCTGAGAGTAATTCGATGCATTGACGCATTATCACTTTTCTTACCTTGATATATCACTCTGGTATTCTGATCAATGCTTAAATTGGCAATCGTACTCTCGTATGCACCTCGATGCCCGGCTGTGAATGAGAATCCCCTGGCAAGTTTAGGAGCGCGAAGTTTCTGAGACAAGCACTTGAGTTGGGGAGATAATTTCGTGGCCATGTTGCCCTGCGACTCTCTCCACCGTGTCTCTCATGAAGCTAGAGAAACAATATTTCAATTGATACACGTACCTAAAGCACAGAAGAGGAGGGTGAAAGTCAACATCAAAGCAAGCGAGCAAGCATGGATGGGGCCTGGAATGGATCGGTTATGTAACTCCATAAAACCGAATTGCAGGCGTAGTGATGTCATTGGCGCATTCAGATCCCCGCACTCGGCTGAACCCATAAATCAGTCTCGGCTACATGACTACCTGCACACTTCGAACATCTTCGGACAACATCTCATGAGAGCCCAAATCCTACTGGGGACATCTCGGGGGTACCTACCTAAGCATGAGAGGAAACGAGCGTGGCTTTATACTTGGCGACTCTTCGCGGCTAAATACATTCGCGCCCGGAAAGACTCGTTGCCCTTCGGCTGGCGGGTATGACAAACCTCCGCAGGAGAGCGCGCCAGGCATGTCAGGCTTGTAATGCGCGACGCGTCAAGTGTAATGTAACCGAGCAAAGACCTTGTCGCAATTGCACAACAGCCGACACGCCTTGTGAGCTCCGTGAGTCGAGACGGGGCAAGCATCCTCGCCCATCACGGCGAAACGCAAAGCCAGACAACCAAGGCGGGCTAGATCAGGCTGGTTCCTCACCTTCTTTTATCGATACAAGTGTTCTTGATGAGTCAGTGGCGACTGGGAACGATGAGCACTTTGCCGCATCTCAAGCACTTGCCGATCTTGCAAGATATCGGGATGTAGAAGGCTTGGGCGATCAGACATGCATCACAGTGCAGCCTCAGTCACCTTTAATAGCACCAAACAACGGACAGGAAGACGACAGCTCGGTGTTCCTCGGCGAGTCATCCTCAATACGTTATGTCACCAACAGCAATCCAACGCCGCCAACAGCCGGTACATCACCACCAGAAAACCTAAGGTTTCTGCATGCCGTTCCTCACGCTGTAAGAGCTGAGAACTTACTGCCGGAATGGGAAGTAGAGCGCAGAAAGTCGAGGATTAGTTCTCTAAAAGCAGAAGGCGCCTTTTCATTTCCACCTGTGCCAGCCGTGGAAATGTTGCTTAAGGCGTACTTCCAATGGTTCCACCCATGCTTCCCTGTTGTGGATGAGGTAGATGTTTGGACGAGCTTTAAGGATGGCACCTTATCCCCTTTGCTCCTACACGCGATCCTCTTCATAGCTGTCATTCACTGCAAGGAAGATGATCTACCAGCCATTGGACTCGGAGGCCGTCATGTTGCCAAGTGGGTGTTCTACAATCGCGCAAAGGACATTTACGACGTCGAGTTTGAGCCAAAAAAGTTCACAGTCGCCCAAGCTTTGTTTCTTATGAGCTTTTGGAGAGCTGGATTGCTCCTAGAGAAGGACGCCCGGCACTGGCTTGGCGCAGCCATCAGTCTTGCTCAGACGAAGGCGCTCCACCGATCCTCGAGATCCGCTGTAACCGAGAAGAGGACCGAGAGACTTTCTAGACGCTTGTGGTGGGCCATCTATGTCCGCGAAAGGCAGTGTGCTGCAGCATTGGGCCTGCCAAACCGGATTCGAGACGAAGATTGTGATATTGAGCCGTTAGAGCAACTTGATTTCGAGCGTGCGTTTGACTCGACGTTGCCGATTCACAAAGCCCAAGAGTATATCGCATATTTCATCAGCATTGCTCAACTCTCTAGAGTACTGGGGAAGATCGTTCATAGCGGATACCTCCCCAGCAAGTCACTATCCCCGAATGATCGGTCTCAAATGAGAGACGACCTCGTGAGATGGAGACAGCAACTTCCTGCAGTCATGTCCCTCGCCAACAACGAATTTGATGATGCGGCGGGCTTTCATGCCAGTATGTTGCATCTGGCATACAACAACCTCCTCATCCTATTGTACAGATCAGGTTGCATTGGCAGTGCTGAAGAAAGTCAAGAAGTCGACGGGCAGATCGCCCTCCAGGCTGCAGCAAGGAACTCCCGCATCATCGAGGATATGCTGCTGGAGGGGGATCTGCGTCACGGGCAAATTCACGTCATAACGAACCTCTTCAACACGCTTTGTATTCATACTGTTCATCTTCGTTCTTCAAATGGTGCCGGAAGGGCCATCATTGAGCACAGAGCGAAAGTTTGTCTTTTGGGCCTGCAAGAGCTACAAAAAACGTGGGAGGTTAGGATGTGGGTGCTGCAGTTATTTTTTCAGTATCTGGATCGATCTACGGCGGCGCGATTACGGATGCAGGATGATATCTCTTTCGTATCTGGACTTGACAGTGTGCAGGATGTCAATACCAATACGACGGTGATGGGTGGCCTCAACCATGGCTCGGCTGAGCATAATGGGGAGGATGGACTCGATACACTACTAGCGTCTGAACCTCCATGGTCATGGTCCACCGAAGAAGCCAATCAATTCCTGTTCACACAGATCGAGAATGACTTCGCTTTCGGCGAGGGAGGCATATTGGATTGGAATACTGGCACACCGGCTACCAATTTGCCATCAGTTGATAGTAACTCGCCGACAACTGTGGGCTTCTGAATACAACGTGTCAGATGTTCTTGGAGAGAATTCCGTTTGCAAAAGACCAGTGCATATGACAAAGCTTGCACACCCGGTTAATATGGTGAACTACATCAGAATCAATAGGCTTTATCATACTTCCGCAAGCTATATTCGTCTTTAGGTCTCTGAAACTAAATGAGTTGTTGCCTCTGCAGGTGGCTTTTCCATCCACTATGTATCTGTCAATGCAATGGCTTCTCTACGCCGTTGAGCTGGTGTTTCTTCACTTGACATGCCTTCACAGGCATCCTTCTACCTTAGGACCAAGTTCTACCTTAGGACCAAATTTTGTTCGGGTGCATCAAAACAATCTTCAGCCGATTGACTAGAGAATGGGGATGTGTCTGGTGTACTTGCAAAACTTGATGCCGCCTCCGACACACTCATGATCGATTGTGTGGAATCTTCTGTACTAAAGGACAACAACCTCGCCGATCTCGAAACACCCTTTCTATCAGAGGCCAGCATGGAAATAGGTTTGGTGGCTGAACGCGAGAAGTAAGACGATTGCACTGGAGAGCCCACTGGCTTGACTGGCGGTCGTTTCATCCGGTCCTTTGTTGGGGATAGCTTATACTCTCTACTGCTGACGGCAGCTGCTGGTGAAAGAGATAACGATCTATCCCTCCGGTCGGACTTGTCAGGAGTGCCAGGTGAACTCGGTATTTTGCCCTCCTGCTCTCCGGTGTCAGTCACAATCTGGCAAATGTTATCGGGCTGATCACATACAGCAGGAGATTCCACAGATATACAGGGGAATCTCAATGGATCGGACACGCCATGAGTCCCACTGGTCGCATAAGCTGCGTCACGTTTGCTCTTCCGGATCAACTCGTTAATTACAGGCTGTATCCTCGAGCAAGCCCATCTCTCTTTAGCATCTGGCATAAGCATTGTGTACTGAATAAGGTTCAGCATTTCATGCACGGGCTCAGCACAGCTCTTTTGTTGATGCAGGTCATCAATCCACTAACAATATTTAGTAAGACCGCGGAAGGCATACATCACTAGGAGAGCGACGGCTTCGTTGGGACTACTTACATCAGTGACGGATGTCTTTACATCAGCTGTCGAGGGTGCATCATCTTTACTTGGATTGAAGTTGAAAAACTTATCCTCAAGAAGAATCCTCGATCCAGTATGCGATCCATCTTCTTGGAGTCGAGAGTCTGTAAAATCTTTCTGTGTTCGGTCGTGGCCGACAAGAAACCACGATACGAATTCGAGGAAGACGCAACCCAGGGACCAGATATCATACCTCTGCGATATTGTTCTTTTCAGATCCACATCGGGAGGCCGATAAGATCCTGAGAAACCCTTGACTGCGTCATAAGCGACTTTGGACCTGGAATCGGCAGTGTTGAATCGAGTTAACCCAAAATCAGATATTACAAGAAAGTTGCGACGCGACTCTTCGTATTTCTTGAACCAAAGAATGTTTTCTGGCTTGATGTCGCCATGCCGACCCCAGTGTTTGTTGTCAAGCAAGACATTTGGGTCGTTAGGAACAGGGGCGTAGTTGTCTTCTTTGGACATAGTCCTCAGATTATGAATTCTTCGAAGGGCGCGGACAAGGCCTAAACATTGGCTTAGAAACCAGACAACCTCAGCTTTGCTCCCTGGGTTGGCGATGGTTTTGCTCCAAAATTCCCTCAAATTACCATCCGCCCAAGGAAAGACCAGATAGTAAGATTGGCCATATTTATATGTGAGCTGAAGCTGGATCAAATGGTCAGGGTCTGGACCTCTTGATCCCACTCCTAGTCTTTCAAAAAGCTCCACTTCTCTCGCATACTCTTCATGAGTTTCAAGATGAAGCTGCTTGACTGCGAAATGCCGGAGGACTTTCCCTCGTTCCTGAGGAGGAATTAGAAAACAAGTGCAGTTGTAAGAGGAGGGTTGTGACTTGCCTTGGATGTAGTGTCGCGACTGTAATGAGCGTGGTGGATTCTGACTTTTCTAACGCTTCCATAGCCGCCAATTTGAACTAGGTCGTATTCCTGGAATGGTAGGATTGTTTTTGATGTAATATCGTAGTAGTGCACGTCATCGCCTGGAAGTTTGAAAAAAGGTGTGCAAATTGTCTCCTGGCACTGAACAAAATTGTTGATGTGCTTGGTACGCCAATGGTTCAAACAACTCAAGACCGTACCGTCCTTCTTTTGAAGTTGGATGACAGGTTTGTGACGCAAATTCCGTTTTATTTCTAGCGGCAAAACGCTGTCATCGATGTCGTGTTTAATGAAGTCTTCGATCAGCTTCACTTGCTCCATCAAAATCAAGATAGCAAATATCTTTCGTCGCTGGGGCTGGGCCTTGACCTCATCTGGCTTGCCGCTGATACTGGAGACCCAGCTGTTGATGACTTTGGGCTTGAAGTGAGGGAATGCATGCCCCAAAAGCCGTTGTACGGCCGTCGGAGTTACGATGCGGCGGAGTGCATCGAGAGGCAGAAAGCCTTTATCTTCCGAGGCTGAAGTTATGCTGGCGGCAAACATGGCGTCGCTCATGGTTTGAACATCGGCGTCATCGTTGGTATTGTCCTGAGGCCGTAGTGCAGGATGATGAGAATGTAATGCCTGAGTCCCAATACAATCATTCGCCATCTCTGATGACTCCCACTCAATGTAATCTGAATGACCCATATCCTGCACAGGCACGATACTAAGGAAGCTGCAGTTTGAGGCTCCAGCATCGGATGAACAGCCTCCAAATGATCCTAGGTTCCGATTTCCTTCGTTGATGAGCGGCAAGTTCCCTGCAACTTCTTCGTGACGCGTTTCAGTAAAGTCTTCGTCGGTGACACTGATACGCCATGAGAAGAGCAAATCGCTTTGACTAGCATCTTTTGTCCCCACTTCTGAGTTTTGGGAAGTCGAAACGGAGTGTCCGAGCTGAGGTGCCTGAATTTGATTCGACGATGTTATTCCGGTCGTTGGTCCGTTTGAAATCGGGGATTCGGCGATGGGTTCGGCGATGCCCAAAAGCTCCCGATCGATGCCTGCTCGCTTTGTGGGATCCATCCTCAATGGTATCTCAAGGCGGACAAGCTATTGGAAGTGGAACAATCAAGTTAACGTGACCAAATTGGAATCTGTCTCGTAAAATGAGTGCAGGGCCTATGCTGATGACCTTGAGATGGCAGCTAGCAGACAGCTGAACAAATCATGTGCGAATATCATTGCTGATGGTTGAGTTAACAAGCAGGTAATATTAGGTAGACCAGATGTTGGTGCCAGACCCCGCAGCTTCCATTTCACTAGTCGCCTTCAGCGACGCTGGGATTTTAATTACCATACACCACATGCCCATTCCCGTACCAATATGGTGGTGTAACTGAGACATTTCGATCGACCAAAGCGGGCGGAAAGGCACTGCCCTATTTGCCGTGATACTTGGGCTCCCTGTTGTGCTCTCTTCTCGTAGCCTACCTCGAGTTGCATCGGTAATAGCCAATTAGCAGATGTGATGCTACACCACCTTTTCTCATGTCACCGAAACTGTTAGAAGCTAAGCCCCCCACAGGTATCCGGAAAGCCTAAGAGGCGTCTAAGGGAAGTCTTACGCAGCGGGGGGCTTGGGGCTGAGCGTCAAGGTGGTTCGCCATAGGCTGCAAATGGGACCAACACCACATCACTCGATCTTACTTGGCTTACCTGGGCAACTGCTGCTTGCAGCCACTCATATATCGTTGAGACTATGATTCAGGAATCACCGAGGCCATACCTCCGGTCTTTCTTGATCAGGTCAGGCTATGCCAGCTGAGGTTAGCAAATGAGAGCATAGCCCCAGCGCCTCCGTCAGGCAACTTTCCGAATTTGATGTGTCTATTTCAGTCGCAATGACACCGCTAGCCGCCTGACGTGGCGGTATTTACACATGTCTAAGGCTGGGAGATTGGGCTGTTCTCGGTATCTCTATCTGTGTTTCTGAATGTTGTTTTGAGCGTCTAGATTTAAACACAACAACCGCTCACTGAAGCTTGCGATCTAGAAGCCAGCAAAGAACAGCACCAGCCTTGGATACACTGCTCAGTGATACAATGCCGCAATACGCATCTGTCAAGGATTTTGAATCAGGTCACTACAATCAGCAAGAACCTGTAGAACTACAAATTCACTCGAATCTCACGAGCTCTTCTCAATTGCTACGGGCGCTAGAAAGACGACTACCCAGCGGCAGTTATACTGTAGAGATGCGGCATAACATATACACGGTGCGAGTCGATAGTCAGAAAGCTCCGTCCGAAAGCTTGATGCTGAAAGCAAGTAATTACCGACTGTAGGATTACTCTGGTATGTGAAGCCGGCAGATGAAGTCCATGACTGCAAAGCTCTAAGGAAGCGGATGCTGATTCTTCATATCATTAGTACATGTATGATTCATGAATGTTAGATCTATGAGCATTTGATTCTAAGAGATGGGCGAAAGCGATATGGGGCAGCGCAAACTGCGCGAGCTGGACACTCGCAACTATTGAGAACACGGGCTAGACTGCCTAACAGAAAGGACAAATGATTCCAGCATGGATTCAGCAGAAATCGAATTGGATGGAATTCAAAGGACTGAAATATCTTACCTAATTCACACCAAGAATGTAATGGCAGCCGTCGTCATCGACATCAGTCATTTGATGCCACGGCCAAGTCTCTCGATTCGTATTTTCAAGATCGCCTCTTCACAGTGCACGAATATTGATGCACAACACACAGTGATGACCAGCTAAAAGTCAAATGCTCGTTTGATAGGAATAAGGTCACCTGAAAAGTGATCCGGAAGAAAACAGGTAACATCTCACTTTGGCATTAAATTCATGAAACCAGGAGATTTCACGTCAAGAATTCTTAGAAACCTACTGCACCTCAACGTTGAGCTGCGGCTCTCGCAGTAGGATGTGCTCAGCCAGTAATCTTCCTACGCCAACGCGCTCATATCGACCACCTTGTTCTCCAGATAGCCTCACAATGACAAGAACATAATGTTCTGGCTCCCGGGTCAAACCCTCCGTCTTCTCCTTCCCAATGACAATGGATCTCAACTGATCTATCGTATGCAGCTTTGACTCATCGAATCTTACTCTTTTGAGGAGTTCGATGGCATCCAAGCTGATACGGCTAGCAACGCCACGAAGGAGAGGAATCTCACTGCCCTCAGAGACTTCCCAATGAGTTTTCTTCCCGCTGTCGGTGTTGAAAGGCGTAACAATATCTTTGGTCCAGTTGATATGTTCGAAGGGAGCCTCTAGATAGGCTATCGGGCCTTGATATGCCATCCAGGACCAGGAGGGGACTCGCCTACCTGGAGGGTATGAGATTCTATCGAGTGACGCATCAAGAGCTTTCTGCCAAAGGAGACTTCGTTGAAGGTATTCGTCGAAAATTCCAAATCCTCCTTTGGTAACAAAGTCCTTGACCAGTCTCTCTTCCAGACCCTTGATTCCAATGGACCGATCGCTCGGTACTGTGAATGCGAGCCGGGAATACATCTGATAGAGGGTTTGGAATGTCACAATTCGGCCTCCCTTGAAGTACTCTAAGGCTGATTTAGGGAAATCGGAGTCCCCGAGAAGTGCAGCTTGTCGGCTTGTTGCACCAATGTCAGCTATTAGACCTCCAAGAGCCAAAGATCTGGGACTTACTTAGAAAGCTTCATTAAAGTCTCACAATGAACGCCCTTTCCGCATTCCCAATACACCTGAGATGCTGTGAAGTGAAGTGTTCGGCGCGATAATGCCCTCTCTTGTAACACCCATCCGCGCTGGTTGAGCACAGCTTGTTCGACATCTTGGTGAAAGTCGTCAATCGACTTGCGCACAAAGGTAAAGCCACTGTCGGGTCCCTCCAATGTTACGAATGGATGTTTTGCTTTCTGTCGCAAGAAGCCTTCAGCCGAAGAAGACGCTGCTGTGGCTGCGATAGTGACATAAGCAGAGCTGAAGACATGCTCCATGCGCGTGGCCTCAAAGGCCCAATCCTGCTTATCGTTCTGTACAATGCAGAGTGAATCAATCCATAGGTAGCGTAGTCCCAACGCTCTCGTGATTTTGACCGCGTCTTGAAAACTCTTTGGAAGAATGCCGAAGTCAATCCGCTTGCGAAAGACATCGATATTCTCCTTCAGGGTGCGAACTTGAGCTTGAGAATTCGCTCCCCAGCAGTGGCTCAGGGCAGTGTATCGTTCGAGTGGAAGAAACTTCCCTTCGCAGAGATGAATAGTAGAATTCGGGTCTGTTCCAACATCAAGGACGCGAGTGGGTAGCTCGGTACGATCATCGACGCCATGACTGTGTTGTTCGTCACACACGCGCAGCCATTCGTTCAGCAGAACATATTGCTCAGGGGAGCCTGTTTCCGGTAGGGTAGGAAAGCCGATCTGTGCATGTGGCGGTATAGAGCCGCCAGTCGCTATTGTTGTTTCCAGTAAGCAGGCATGTTCGACCAACAATGTGAACGAAGTTGCACCCGATGCTTACCTGGGCTGACATAAAGACTCAAAATGGTGGGACCATCAGGATCAATCTTCAACGACGAGCCTTCTCTTCGACACTTCAATTCACCGCCATCTTCTATGCCAAGCATTTCAGCACTTCGAACTAGGATGGCGCACAGCTCGCAAGCCTGAGATCTGGATTTGAGATCTCTAAGTCGTTCACAAATAAGAAACATCGGCGTCCAGATATTGTACCCCTTGCAATTACTGCATAGTGTGGAACCTTGTGGGGTCGGGAGGGGCGATGCGGATTTGTGATAGAATTCACTAGCGAAATGGCTATCACTCTGCAACTCCCACACATCTCGGAAGTTGTCGAGTTGCTGATGAGAATTAGCGGGAGCAAAATGGCTAGAGCAGGAGTTTCTGATAAGGCTTACGCGCTACATAAGGGACTGTTAACTACAAATCGCTTCAAGTAGGTCAAAGAGACTTACCATCTATCACAGTGTCAAAAGTGAGTCAATTTGACTTATTAGCAATACCTGAAGGCAAATATCAAGGACTATGATGTCAACTAGAAGTAGCTTACGTTCTGGGACGACTCGAGTTAGTACAGAATATACCGAGAGACCGCACATTTTTCAAAGTGAAATCAACCATCACAAAGATCTCACACTCACATACTGTGCACGAAGTATCTCATTAGCATCAATTCTTATGGAGACTGCTATATAGTATCATGCCAGGGTTTTCTTACTTCTTGAGCATTCGGAATCGGAACTTGCATGTTGACATCGCCTAGTTCAGCAACGGGTTCAACAATCATAGGAGTGTCTGGTATGGGCATGTTTGGTGCGATCCCTAGAAGCGCAGGCTGTAGGTTTTGACTTGTTGTTGCGCGACCTGGGAGAGGTCGTTGACCAGGAACTTCCAGCTTAGAGCGCCTGTGTTCAGCGGGGACTGCGCTAGTGCTGATGCGATCCCATAGAGTAGAATCCAGCAAATAGTTTTCCTGTGCTTTAGCTTGTTCAAAAATACTCCTCAGCCTTTCGTACAGCTCTGTAGAGTTTGTCCGACCATCGACTTCAGGTACTAGCATGTTCAAGTCAATTAGCTCCAGTACGTCTTTGAGCGCAGTGCTCGATGTAATGTCGCTTCGCAGAAGGTCCTTCGACATGCGAGAAATCCACCCCTTGACCTCGCGATGCTGATGGTAGCCTTCATCATCTTTGCTCCAGAATTTCTCTTCGATACTGGCCCTGTTGAAGGCCTTAAGTTTGCTGTTCCCATAGAGCACCCAGATGAGAAACTCAAGAAAGACGCAGCCCAGTGACCACACATCGTAGAGTCGGGAGATCTGCTCAGTAAGCCCGAACTCCGGAGGCTCATAACGGACAGTGCCGGTCATGGTATTCGTCGGCTGGTTTCGATCTCTGGTAGCCTCGAGATGGAATCTAGCGAGCCCTACATCGGCGACTCTGAGAACACCCTTGCCGTCAGTCTCAAGGAAATGAAGAATATTCTCGGGCTTCAGATCTCCGTGTCGGCAGTTCCTTTCGTGCAAGGCACTGATGGATCCGCAGATTCCCTG